GTTTTACGCCAGCCGTTCCTGCCTCTACCACAAGCCTGTGTGCTAATTGGAAAGCAAAGAGTGTCGTTTCCATCATAATGGTTGTGTATGGAAAAGAAATCAAGAAGGACCAACTTTATGTAGTGTGTATGTATTTTGATATGTGTACATGCACTGTTAGATCCCTAAATGCACCAACATGTGTAAGTTCATCAAAATAACATTAAGCATGTAGGTATACATGTGTATGGTTAATGCATGAAATGTAATGAGGGTATTGTATACATATATCCTTACTGTAGTAACTCTTACTTTCAGGAAGACACTAAGTTAAGCCCTTTAACTCATAAACCCCTGAAGACACATTTGAACTCTTCCAATTCAATGGTTGGAATAGTTCATTATGAAATTTCATGGGTGAATGTGTTAATAAGAATTTTACAAAATGTACAGTGTATCATAAACAAACCCTTATCTGCTCAAATAGTCACAAACCGTTAAACAATGATATATATAGCATAACACATGTACATGTAGTATAGTTTCATTGTTATTCCATCCTGGTGCAGAAACTCCCAAAATTGTCCACAATTTTTAAGTTACAAACATCATGGCTACAGTGATGTTTCTGTGTCATGCAGAAAGAAAACCATAAATCCAGTATTGAAGTCCCTGTATACAGAACAAAGATACTATATAGCATGAATACATTCTACAAACCCCATGTGAATCAAATCTATTATTCAATTATTCCATTTTACAAATCCCTGTGCACTAAATCAAAACTACTATAAAAGCATAAAATAAGTGTCCCACACACAACTTCTATATCATGATTCAAATTAACAAATCCCTGTGTTCTGCATCAAAACTTCTACAACATCCAGTAACAAATCCCTGTGTTCAGAATCACAACTTACTTTTGTACCATGATTCCAGTTTACAAATCGGTAGTTCTAAACAGATTATGAGGATAAATATCCCAGCATTTTTATACAATTTCAGGGTAATTTTTAACACAAATCCTTGTGTTCTAAATAGGATTGAGGATAAATTTCCCAGCATTTCTATACAATTTTAGTGTAACACAAATCCCTGTGTTCTAAATAGGATTTGAGAATAAACATCCCAGCATTACTATACAACAAAACCCTGTGCTACTGTAGCAGGGCTTCTGTGAGGCTGTATACACCTGTTACAATTAGTGCAGATGCACTAAGTGGTTTACTGGGCCAAAGCAACAAATTAGAAATTACCAGTTAATTTTCTCCCAAAGCAAATGAGTAATTTTCATGGTGTAGCACCAAGGTGATCTTTGACCAGGGAGTGGTTTATAGATATACATTATCAGCTGGGATCTGGGAAAAAGCCTAGAGTGAAAGTTACTATGTAATTTATTCCAGATTCTGAAATTTACATCCTTGGTGTCAATTTCTTAAGTCGTGCTGCAGGCAAGATAAAACAATCGGATTTAAATGTACAGTGGTGTCTATTTACATAAACCCATGACACAAGATCTGATTATTCCTTGGGAAAACATTTTATTTGTTCTTACATGCAGCAAATATGGCCTGGGTTTATGGACCATTTTTTTTTATAAAAGTCTTATAAAGTAAAAAAGTTGAAATCATGACACTTCAATTAAGTTCATGGGCAAAAATATCGTATATCATTGTAGTAATTTTATTTATAGCATGGATTAAGCAAGTTAAACGATTCCATGTGCAAGGACCCAGTCCCCTTGCAATTTGGCCATAAGTTGAAAACTACCCCTCCCCCTCCACAAAAAAAACCCCAAAGCTTTCTCCAGTTTGCAACTTTTCTTTTTGTTGTCCCTTTTCGTCTGGGATTAAACAACAGGCTTGTAATGCAGAGTGTAACAATCTTTATCAATATACTTTGATGTACATCTAACAAGTTACCCTGTGTGACTGCTGATCAAAGAGAGACATACAAACCAGGAGGGGCATTACTCCAGTTTATGCACACAGATAACTTATCTCATTGTCAAATCTATTTTGTGAATAACCTCAAACATGTCTTTAACCCATTCAGGTTATCTTTCGGTGGCTTCCAGGTTTTCAACAAGAACATCCAAGAAAAACGTAAAATCAACAGCTTTTTTGTGTTGAAATATTGTATAACATTTTAATAGAAACCCCCCCAGCAAACTTCTGAAATTAGTTGCCCAATAAAACAAAAGAATTCCAAAGTGCATGATGGTGACAATATGGTAAAATTTGTTATAACATTTAATGTTTGTAAGATCATTTCATGCTGAAAGATGCAATGACATAACGTCAGATGATGACGCACAAGAGTGATATAACATTTACGTCAGTTTGTTTCAGGTTGGACGTTTTAAGCAAGTTTGCACGTTTTCAAAATTCTCAGAATGATCAAACATTCATCCAATTTTAAGTCAAATATATGGCCGGTGATTCAAAACAGGATTTGTATGTGCAGGTCAGTTTTACGACACCAAAGAAATATTTAATGTTGATATAGTGAAATCAGCGAATTTGTGCAGTTGCACATGTCGAAATCTGACATGAGTTAGCATCAATATGATAACAACAGTATAATTGTGTATTTAAACGTGTTCAACTCATTCACTCGTAAACACACGTTTGAACTATCCCAGTTCAAAGGTTGGTATAGTTCATTATGAATTTTCAGGGTGAATAAGTTAACTGTAGATTTTCACAGATATTTTATCAATCACATATACTCTAAATATTTATTGAAGGGTTTGGCATATCCGCTGCAAACAGAGTTTATATTTCTACTCTTAGAGAAGTTTCTAAATATCAGAACTTTCTTGATAGATTCCCAATAAATTAGGTAGCAAGGGTTTCCTATTAGAGACTTCAATATTTGCTGTGAAAAATTCCTGAAGGTCATTTCCAACTCGAGGGTTACAGTGTCCACTATTTTTTGTGTTGGAGATCAACATACTCTTCTGAAATGAACAGGTCAGTTCCAAATCATGATGGTTAAATGCATGTACTGAATTCCTTATCACAATGACAAAGCATCTAGAATTGCGTCAGTAAGTATGCCAGACAAATTTTTGTCCATAGACTGACAGACAGATAGATAAATGGACAGACACCTTTTATCCATAATAACCCAGTATACATTACTTAATGCTAAACAGATATTCATCCTTAGTAATGACAAGTTATGCTATATATATATTTCTCCTACAAAAACCAAAGGTTTCTTGTCACACCTGACTCGAGGGATAAAAACCTGTCTGGAGTTGGTGAACAGTTTTGGTTACTCATTAATAGTTATAACACCCTGAATGCATTGTGACGTCATCTTCCATTTCAATGTCATAACTCCAGACAATTGTTTCCCCGTTCACAAACAGGAACAAGAGACCCAATGGGCCTGCATCGCTTACCTGGTATTAATCTCACACATGTAATCTTAAAAGTGGACTAAAATAAAGCTACAGGCAAAATATCAGTGTTTGATTCATAAGAACCTATTAAATTATTTAAACATACAACACCTGTGACCTTGAATGTCGAACAAGGACATTAGATTGAAAGTGGGTCAAGGTCATTCATTTGAACAAACTTGGTAGTCCTTCATCCCAGCATGCTACAGGCCCAATTTCAGTATCCTGGGCCTTTTGGTTATTGAGATGTCGTTTGAAGATTATACATTTGACCCCTGTGACCTTGAAAATGGGTCAAGGTCATTCATTTGGACAAACTTGGCAGTCCTAAGCCTTCATCCCAGCATGCTACAGGCCCAATATCAGTACCCTTGGCCTTTTGGTTATTGAGCAGTCGTTTGAAGATTTTAAGACATTTGACCCCTGTGACCTTGAAAGTTGGTCAAGATCATTCATTTGAACAAACTTGGTAGTCCTTCGTCCCAGCATGATACAGGCCCAATATCAGTTCCCTGTGCCTTTTGGTTATTGAGAAGAAGTTGTTTGAAGATTTTAAGACATTTGACTCGTGTGACCTTGGAAATTGGTCAAGGTCATTCATTTGAACAAACTTGGTAGCCCTTCATCCCAGCATGCTACAGGCCCAATATCAGTACCCTGTGCCTTTCGGCCATGGGAGCTAATAATGTATTCCAACGAGAAACATGGTTTTCTGTTTACTGTATACTGGGAAATTTTCGTTGAAGTTTACTTTATGCCTTTTTCGCCTCCAGCAATGAGGTGAATTTATCATTACAGCGTACAGTAGTAAGTGATATCATAAATATATTAATTAAATGTGAAGGGCGAGATTCACATTAGGCGAAAATGGATATAATTGGCATAGGGTGAAAATTTTATTAGGCGAAGTTTCCAGGTAAAGAGTATTTGTATATAAACGTAATATAAGAACATTATTGGTAAACCTTGTGTCCTTTTATATTTTGAAAATTGACAAAATCAAGTTTGGGAAACTGAACATGAACCCCCACCATCACTTGTTGGGGACCTCTATATTCCATTAGCACCTGGACTGCACAATATATCAATTTTCATTAGAAACAATTTGTGATTAGTTTGTCATGGACATTAACTACCCAATAACATGTGTGTGATCAGCTGGTCAAACACAGGACAGTGTCCAGTGTAATCAAACAGACCTGGACAGGTAAAACTGACCGTTAATCCCACTTCAGCAGCTGGACAATGTATCAAATTAATACTGACCAATGTCCACTCTGTCAAGTCATGGTCAGCTTAACGAAAAAATGATCAAAATTTCCTTCAGAATTTTTTCTCAAATTCATAATTTGTAATTTTTTTACATTTGGTACTGAAATGTGATCGAATAAAAAAGAGCCATAGAGCATAAGTATATTATCAGGCTTCAAGATGGATAGAAGATCAGGTTTTGAAAATTAAAATAAATTTCTCGTTAAGCTTGATAAGGGTTCGGTACCAATGGCATGGAACTTCACACCTGAACATGCATGTCAATGTGATTTGTCCAGGGTATAGCTATACCCAGATATTGAATGGCATTTCTAAACTGATAACAAAAGCAGTCATATTGATTATTTCGTATTTATTTCATGTTGGAAATAAAGTTTTATGTAACAAGGCAACAATCAACATAAGAACGTAACAGGAAACAGATACACGTGGTCCCATCAACGGAATTAGGAATCGTCTCATTACCATAGTAAAGCTGCCCTTATTTCTCCCGGGGAAAATCGGATGGACGTTAACAGTGACATAAACAATGAGTCGCGAACAGCTCACCTGTATTGAGGAGCGTACCTTAACAACAACAGTCTATCTGTATGGAGCGTACCTGAACAATCTACATGTCTTAATAAGGCATTTCTGTGGGAATAGGGAGGCTGACGCATCATGCGATGCCATGGACGCAATCAATATTCATAGTCAGAGAAAAGCATTTCGTTCCAGTAGAAAAATTAACTTGCTATCAATCAATGACATGGACAGCATGAGTTGATATCTTGCTACGGCAGCTGGAATAATTCCAGACTTTTAGTGTTTTAGCCAGATACCTTTACAATACATCATTAACATTAACAGACTCCAACTGTCAAGATTGGAAACTATCAAATATTGAATAAATTTTTAAGAAAATACACACATTTTGAAAATCACATTTCAAATTTGAAAATTTGAAATTATTGAAAGTTTTAACTTAAGTACAATACAATATTGAAATCAAAATATATGACAATTTCTAATTTTATACTTTCCTTCAGATCTTTCTCATGAGATATGGTTTAAATATTCGATGCTAGCTGTCTTTGGGGATAAGTTTAGTTTGACTCTTACAGTATTTACAATGTATATAGTTTTTCTGTTTCTTATATAAAATTCTAGATTTTAATAAATTCATTAATTACGAAACTGAACCAATAAATTAATTGTGTCTGTCTATCTTTACAAAGAGAAACATATTGCTAAATGATCACCTGTTTTTATTTTATGTTATAAGATATACCACAATACTGAATTTCCTGCATATATGATTTTCCATTTAAATGTAAATTATCCTGTGTAAATGAATCTTTAAAATTTGTAAAAAAAATCTTTGGTTTGATTAATAACGCCTATATTTGATTTACATTGATAAAAAATTACTAAACCCCCAAGTATCTATCTAATAAGTATGAATTCCCTCTAAAGTTTTACTTAAATGTTCAAATTATGACCAATATTGGAGAATTTATTATGTGTACTACATGTAAACAAACTTGTTAGCTTTTTTGAAAGATGTTTACAAATTTATATTTCAACTTTTATGCTAACATTCAATAAAAGCTTTGGTACTTTATCCAGTTCCTTTGGTGCTAAAATTCTAAAATTCAAGTAAGGAAAAAAACCAAATAATCTTTGGCAAATTTTCTTCATATCATAATCAACAACTAATCTACGTTGCTTTTTGGTAACTAACTCTTAATAATATTTTTGTTATGATCAATGTTTTTGAGATCTCCATTACAATTCATACTCAAGTTACATATATGACAAACAAGGGAATGAAACACTTAATGAAATCATTTCTAGCTCACAATGTATACAGGTTTGTTTAGATGAAATGTCAAATTATATGAATATGATTTGCTTTTTGATTAATGTCATATTAGTTTTGGAATGATTATGCAGATCATATGAAATTGAGATCTTGGCCGACTCGAGTGAAATGCAAGACATTAAAGGCTAACATACATCTTACAATTTATAGGTTGATCGGGTCAAACCCTTTTTTTAATAAGCAATATCAGAATTTTAGTTCATCAATTTTGGAAATCAAGTATTTAGTAGTGAGGGTCAAAATCTGGAGAAAAAAAATATCAACCCATAAATGGTAAAATACTACTGAATATTCATGACGATTTCTGTAGCAATCTCATGAATATTCAAATCAATCAATTAAATGAGCACCTTTGGAATTATGGAATATAAAGAGTATGGATTGCCCTTCCGTATCACACAGCGAGAGCCTAACAGCAGAACCTTGCTAGCCCAGATACACAGAATCGGAAACCATTCTTTTAATGCGATTTTTTTTATATGAATTTAAATAATTTCTGAAATCATCAATTTCCAGCGTATGCTTTTGTTGAACTTTATCTGACATCAACTAACGTTTCGTAAATCTAGAAAGGCTGTTTTCTTTTATGATTTATTTTTTAAAACAGAAAACTTAGTGTCCGGACTAACAATATCCATATCGTATTACAATTGGGTATCAATACACACAAACATGAAAATAGTTTTAAATTTGGCACATGACTAGAGGAACATTATCCAATCAGAACACATTTCACAATATTGTTATCCAATTAGAAACCATTTTTGTTTATCACACAAACACATCATGCACTTTTTCAAAATGGTGTTCCATTGGAAAATCGTCATTGTCTATTGTATAACTCCCTGAAGTTGTTGTATCGTCATCGTCGTAACCCGTGGCGATACTGTCCACAGTTTCGTCGACACTCAACCCCCGCTGGAAATGTCCATATGACGGAAGTTCCGACCCAACACTATTGAAGGAGAGTTTTTGTTGCCGTGGAAACGGATAACATGGCTGTAACTGATGTTTGAGTTCCTCCTGGAATCGTTGTGGAATAATTCCTGAACTAATGTTGTTCACATTATTAACTTTCCTCCCAGACATGTCCATGTAATGATTTGTCTCTGGAATATTTCTGTGGAATTTTTCGACGTTTCTGAAATTCCGACTTGTTGGTGGATGTTGGCGCCGGAAATTCTCTGCAACACAGAAAACAGAAATTATTATAAGCTTAACACGCTTTCAATAAAGTCCTGATACTTCACTATAGTTGAATTACATATTTTTTTTCACAATATAATACACAGAACTTGTGCTTAAGTAAATAAAGTTAACTTATCTATATTTTTAACCCATATTAACTTTTAACACAGTTTCAAAAAATATATTTAATTTGACATTAAAACTCAACAACTTCTTTTGCTAACATAAGTGGGGACATCTTTCATTATCGCGTAATAATTTGTTTATATTAAAATACAACATTTTAACATGTAGTATGGTCAAACAAAAAAACGGCATTTTTAATAAAAGAACCTGAATTTCCCCAGAATTTCATACATGCGTGTCTAATGGACAAGATAGATATTGACCCAAGATAAATTATGTCACTATGTGGCCAGTTTTTGAGTATTTTATGAGGTGTGTGACAAACTTACCTGATGTATGTGACTGTGTGACGCTCTGCACCTCCTCCTGGTCACTAGCGCCTCGTCCACTGTCACTGGGGATAGTGTCCCCCGAAGTATCGCTGTTGTCGTCTGTTGATTTCTTTGCCTCTCTGTTATACGGGAGCTGTAAAATTCCAAAGGACACCATGGTCAGCATTTGAAACCAAAGATTTGACAATTTTTTTCAACATTTTTTATTAAAAAGTAATTTTAAATGTCTTCATTTCCCCCCCGGCTGTGCCGGCTATAGACTCTTGCTGTTAGGATATATGGTAAGAGTTTTGTCAGCTGGACTTTGTACCTATACATACCACCCAAATACCTTTTTTTAGAAAAAAAAGTCACATTCTGTTTTATTACATGTAATTTAAATATGGATACTAGCTTTTAATTCAGTTTTCTTTTTTTCTGGGTGGAGATCGAGGTCGGTGGCGCAGTGAATAATGCACACTCCTTTCTCCAAGGTTTGACCCCTGATAGGACATAAAAAATAAATGGGGTCACTTCCTGATCACATGGGTTTTCCCCATGTTTGGTTTAGTTTCCTCCCACATTAAGACCTCCTGCATGCTAGTAGTCCACCTGAGCCAAAGAGACTGATCAGTATAAGTTGATAGAACTTGATTTACAACTGTTGTAAAATATTTAAAATTATTTTTTTGTCTGGAAGTCACAGGAACAAGTGAATACCAGCTGGAGTTCAATCATAATATGAACTTTGTAACATCTGCTAAATACAGCAGCTATTAACTGACTTTAATTAAGTTTTATTCTTATGAATTTGTAATTGATTTGAAATTGATTTGAAATTGATTTAATTGATTTGAAATTGATTAGGTGGTTTTGACTGTACACCTGATAACTTGATACTGTGGAATTCTCTGTGTCCACATCTTATTTCACGCAGACTGTCTTTCAAACCACAATCCCTCCGCTTAAATTCTGAACATTCTATAATCTAGAGTAATTCATGTCATTTCCTGTTAGATCGGGATTAAACCGTCCATAATAGCAACGATTCTGTCTGTCGGTATCCCACGGTTTTCTGACTGATAGGTAAAATGGCCATTTGATTATCCCGTTAAATAAAACAACATTTTTGTTTCGATTACAATTCACCGTAAATGAGGACATCAAGTCAGTGTTTCCCTTTTACAAAGACACGCAGGAGTTGGGTGATTGACCCATTTTAAAGATGGATGAAGAATTTATTTCCTCGCTGATAAATAGGATATCACGCATTAATCACTGTCACCGAGTGAGAAAGGTGTGAGTCAAGAAAACATCACCTTAACGAGAATTGTTTACTGTCCTACCTCTGTACACGTCCACGAGCCCTACAGCTAACAACGACTTTGTTTAATGTTAAATGCCGATTTCCAGATATCATTGACCACAACAACTTATCCCCAGATCTGTACTTCAGAATTTAAATAATCTGCTATTCATTTTTCCAGATCATAGGGTTTGCCTGCTTGTTTGTTTCTTTTGTCGATGCTAACGGTGCTGATAATAATCTAAAGCGCTGATTTGGTGAGAATTCTGCGTTAAGTCTCGGCCCTTGGTGTCCAACTCGTACACCTCAACATTAACGCTGAACTATTGTTTTTTTCTGAATGGTTTTATCCACTAGTTTAGTTCCCAATTGTTACCAGGAGATTTCTAGCGATATGACGTTACACGATTCTCGTTAACAGGTATGTCTAGTATCACTACATTGATTCAACACCTGCCTAAACAGGGTTCGCACCCAAGCCAGTGTGATGTAACACAACAAAGAATGCCACAGCATCCCATATCAGCTGTTATGCCCGCTAAAAGGGGCCATTCTAGGACCCAGACCCAAAATCAATTTTGAAGCACAATAGCCTAAGGTTGTTTAATTAACACGGAATAGAGAAATGTTATACCAGAATTAGTGAAAACCCCATAATGCTTAACATATCTTAGGTATCTATACAATAGCTGTTCTATAGTGTCATGAGAAGGAGCGTTTCATCACCATTCTGTGAAATCTCAGACAAAGAGATTGTGTCTGACTGACCATTGTTGGCCGGAGAAAGGACACACTGCACTGGACACAAGCTGGACAAACTAGTCACTTCACCATACACGTGTTAGTGGAATCCCCATCTATAAGCCTACTTATGACTTTAAACTACTAAATACAAATAGTATTTACTACTTTGGGAGTGCGTACCTAAAAACCCCAAATGAGTCATTTACCTTAAACACTGTTTAAACCTTAAACACTGTTTAAACCTTAAACTTGTAGAACTTTGAAAACTCTTCTCTATACCCTTAGATGTAATTATCTTGGTTAAAATCTCCATGCAGACTTAATTTTTTCATTTGGCACTGGATAATTTTTTGTTTTAAATGTTAATACCCAAAAAAAAAAAGTAGGTTGTTGATATACAGAAATTGCCACAAATTTCCGGGAAAATACCTAAACTTATGAGTTTGATATATTATATACATGTATATTGATATATTAGTATTCACGAAAATGTCAAGGCGGGGGTTGAGGAATGTTTCTAGATTTACTTCAATACTATGAAAGTTCTTCCATTTCTATGAACTTTAAAAAAAAAAAAAAACACTCACTTAAGATATATTTATCAAAATTGCAACTTTATGGACATTTTGAACGCTTTTTTTAATTGATATGACATCGTAATTAAAACGTACCTCTGCATGCTGATTGGCATACGCCTTGTCATGTGACTGTACGAGTGCCTGGTGAAGTCGAATAGAAGCGAGGCGATGGAGATCGGACTGATGGACGTCACTTTGAGGCGTGTCGCAGCGCTGTAGTGTCCCCTCCTTGCTCCCACTGTCCATGTGGTCATACGAAACATGTGAGGCCTGCAGAAATAAACGACTAGTGTTATATAAATATTTGATTACAATTGGATTTCTGCAATACATTTTATACATTTGACTGTATAATGCTTTATAAAATACCCGTGTAGGTGAAATTATTTCAAATGACGAAAAAATGCCTGGTTAAATTGTTAATAAAGAGAAATTATTATTATGATTTGGTCACTAAATTTTTAAATTACGTGAAGAATTATTAACTTCCCTAATCATGTTATAAAGTTCTATGATTTAAGATTTTTTTAAACTAAAAAAAAATTGAATTTTGTAAAATTTCTTTATGAATATTTGAACTTACTATTATCATAGCTTTTTTGTAAACTTAATTTAGATTATGTTTAAACTGACTGTAGTCAGATTTTGGTTTAGGATACAAGCAGCTTATAAATCATAATAACAATCAAGATAATTAATTTGTATTCCTTGTAAATCACTCCCCCACCAGCACCATGCTGTATTACTTGAATCCCCGGACAGGTGTCACAAACTTGTCTGACCATTACTTACAGGTAGCTAACGAGTCAGACTTTGTTTTTTATGTATGTTTTGATGTAATGTGTCAAGCGATACATAAAACTGTCGTGAAACATACGACAGGTAAACTGTACAGATACCTACAGCATCTCCTAACTTCCTACAAATGTACCTGAAAACACTGCTTATCATTTTACCTGTTGTAATCATTAAAGAACGAATGGCAGGTGTCACATAAGTAAACCAGGTAGGTATATAAATATACAAGACCCTAAGTGACAGCTACAGACTGTACCTGTCACAAAACAGTATGTACAATATCTATTTTCACTTCCTAGTCCAACTGTCAATTACATGAATGAGTAACTATCTGCATTATCTTCCTCTAATAATGACACTTGCACAACAACATTCACCAAAAAACTGTAATATTGTTTCTTTTTAATGTGCCTCTCATGTGTTAAGGTTACATACTACATTTTAAATCATACATGATTTTGTAAGAGGAGTTATTTCCCCTGAAGACATGTAATTACTTTTGTCTAATAATTACATAAAACCAGAGTATTAATTAGCATAAAACTAATTTCAGTGTGCCCTTATAACTGATAATAAATTTTAATGTGGAACTCTTTTGATTTGGAGGTACATATTTATACTGAGGCAGCATACAGCCTTATGTTGAGAAAACAAAAATGCTCTTTCTTATTCTTACATTATCAATTTCGGATCTTGAACCTATTTTTTCTTTCTAATTAGATATTTTTTAATGAAGTGATATCTTTTTAAGCATTCTCATTTTTATCATTCCTCACTGTGATAAAACTAATTTTATATCCATCTACATTTTGTTTTGTTTTTTTACAATTATTGACATTGTATGAGGTCACACAGGTTACAGCGATGGACATGTGTTTTGAAGCCTGTAAGAAGGTGACCTGTCCCCTGTCACCATCAAGATGTGTTCTCCATAAAAATGTCTGGCCGAATGATTTTATTATCATTACCCTGGACAGGCCCATCCTTGTGGAACAGGAAGAGACGGAATTAGCTTCCTTTGTGTATTCCCCAAATAATATAAATCTCAAACATCTTCGGTTATATAAATCAGTCATATTATTATGTTACATATTTCTGATAAAATATGATATGGATAATTTGAAGAAAAAAATGATGTATTACTTTCAGTAACATTTTCAATCAAAATCACTTCAAAAATACAATACCAAATTTTCAAACATTTTTTTGAGTTTAAGTAGTTTCCGTATTTTCATTGAAACTTTGTTTTGTTTTGTTTCTTTTTCCCGTTCCAAATTCTTTACAAAGTTTTGAATGAAAGCTTCAGGTATTTCATTTTTGATTTTCAAAACTTTTACTTAGAATAAAGATTGAATAAGAAGCCTTTTGTTAAAAAAATATTCTACCAGGCAGTTATATAAGCCAAAGTAAACAAACATAAATATGTTTAAACTCCAGAAATGATAACGATTTTACAATTTTTGGCATGTAATTTACTAGTTTTCTTCTTTTCACAAGATTTTTACACTAAACTGCTGACACTAATTTCCAATGGAGAAAAGGCCCAGTCTAAATCTACCAATACAACAATCACAATTGTACACAAGTTTAATCCTTCTTTTTGTATAGAACTCTTCACAGTTGGAGGTTAAAAGATTGGGATCTTACATACTCGTACTAAGCCCCTTAAGGAGAAATTCCACAACAGAACTGAGACATTCTGGGGACCACATATCGCTTCCTTCGTTAATGACACAAAGGCAGATTCTACATAATGTACTTTGAAATGTAACAACAACTTTTTTTAAGAAATCTTAAGCCAGAATTGCTGAAGCTGGTATAGTGATGGAGAAGACATATCGGCTGTTTTACCCTGTCATGATGACAAACAAGTTTTGTTGATAAACGTTTAAGCTCTCTATCCATCAAAACAAAAATGTTTATTTTCTCCGTAAATGACTCATGCCAAAAATAAAAATCAGTCATTCAAAACAAATAATAAAATGTTCAAGTGATATTTTCTCAACACTGCTTAAAATAATGTGATCTTTTATGGCTGAAAAATCTTAAAAATTATCATAGCATGAACAAATTTTCTGGTTGAATAATTTTGTTTGCAATATTACAAATTGAAAGATATTATTGTCACAATATTCAATTCATGAAAAGATATTGATATAATTTAAGACAGGAAGTCTCAATAAATTGGACTCCAACAAAAAATTCATTTCTTGCTAAGGAAATTGATTCATATTTCACAAAATGATGTGATGTCAGCTGTATAAATGAAACACGAAATACAAAGCGTTTATACTCCGATCTATAAATCGGTGTATATCCGATTTAATATGTTGCTTTATATATTGTTTCGTGATAAAGGCCGCATCTGTTGAACAGTTATCAGAGATTGGAGTTGTTTCGTAATTTGAGAGTACGGGTTATGATCCGAGCGTGCGCATATTGAATAATTTACCTTAGGGGAGGTAACAGTGTCAGAGAAGTGAAGTTACGATACCTCGTCCGACTCTAGACTTACACAAAAAACATCCCACAAGTCTTATCAAATACCCCCAAATCATACGCTAACCGCTTCATCCACCCAAAACTACAGACCTACCTTATGAAAAAAAAATTCATAAAATTAAACCAAACCCTACACTTTTACATAAGAAGGGCAAAATATTCCCTGGATGGATTTCATTATGATCTTTTTGACAAAGCGGTAATATTCATGTCACGCAAACTGTTAAAAGGTCCCCAGACTAAGTGTTTGTGAAGTCTAAGTTTTACTGCCATTTGGGTAAGACAATCTGTTAGAATAAATCTGATATGTGTTTGTCCATTAAATGTTTGCAGACGCCATAAAACACACTCAAGGTGGCAAGCATGTTGTCCCATCCCCTGAAGCTTTGGGTAGGGCACTGGCCGGCCATCAAAGGGCGTGACAAAGTCCCGAGGGGGCCAGGATAATGGCGATTCTTTTGACAGCTCTCTGGGTAGCACATTAGGCTTACACTGAAATCGGCCCCTGGTGCACATTAATACTGATTTGTAAAAGATAAGGGAACTTAGTGTTCTTACAATTCTACTAAAAATTCCTTGAATGGCTCGGGTGCAATATTGAAAGGGGTGGCCAATCTGTATATCACAAAGACAGATAGCACCTATCTCTACAGCACAATGCTTAGCAAACAATTCTATCAGCACCTCTATCGGTATAGCACAATGCCGGACAGCACTTCTATCACTACAATACAATGCCGTGTACCCTTTGATCCAGCTCGATAAGGTCATAAAACTTACACATCTTTTATTACGCCCTTCAATAAAGTCTGATGAAGATATCACTTTTACGATTGGGCCGAATAGCTATTATTTTTACTTCGAATTGTTTTTGTCTGAAAAGTGTTTTTTTTATGTTTTACCTTTTACTCACAATATATTTCAAACAAAAATCAGACAAAAATATAAATATTTTGACTAAGAAAAAATATTTGTATTTTAAATTTACTCACAATAGATTAATCTTCATGGAGTTTTAAATGTTGTGTCAACAATTTCTAACATATGGTCAAGGAATTATTTATTTCATCTGTCATTTCAAACGGTCAGATCATGGGGTATTTTTTATTTGGTTAAAAGTTTGAATTTTCTTCTAATCCTTTCTCTCTCTCTTTCTCCCTTTAATGTTTTTTTTTTATTGAGGACATATGTGGGAAACATGGACAAATGTAATTTCTAAATAGTATTCAAATATCATGATTTGTTCCAATTTTGTTATCTTTTTCTTCCAGACTTTTGATACTAATCCTTGTACAGAATGAGGAGATTTGTATCACTCCAAAACTTCACTGCCCTGTCAAGGAAAATTACAACAAACCCCCTAAAAGGCCATATTGTCAAATCCCCTGGCTTATCACTAATGAAAAATTGCCAGAAAAGACGCTACTTCACAGATTAATATCTAAATCAAACATTTCCATAAATTTCATAAAGCATGCTCAGGCTGAAATTGGTCTTGTAAGGTTTGTATGGGTGGTACTTGACATTGTAGTAGAAAGTTGAGCCCCTTCATAGAAACACCCCTCCACATGTTTGAGAGTTTACACGGAACACAGACCTCCTCTGAGTTTCCTTATCCCCAATATCTCTCTTTAAATTGAGGAGTGTGAGAATTTCCCCCTCAAAACAAATTTAGAACTGACTCAATAAGCGTGGAGACAGTATTTATGTATGTTTGTGTAGTACTTGTATAGTACGAAAAACCACTCACATTTATCAAAATATCTTCATGTGTGAAATACACATTTTTTATTTTAATAATATGACCATCCTATAGTACGACTTATAAATGTAAGACTTTTAAGAAAACCTATATTTGCTCTCTGAAATAGCGTGTATAGGGGCTAGGTAAGTTTATTGTGTCGACAACTACACACCCCAGCGATCGCGTTGTCCGCGGGACAGGTTGACAGAGTTTGTTAATAGGTACGGAAAGACAATTCTTCACCATCCATCAGCTACTGATATCACTCAGCGACCAAACATTCTTTTATATTTTTTCTTAACCTTTTACAATAAAGACTGAACACCGAGTATGAAATAGTTTTGAGGTGATACAACTAAGTATTGTTGACACTTTTGTACAGTGTAAAGCTATCGGAGAAATCAACCAGAAATTTAATCGTACAATTGCGCAACAAAATCCTCACGCTAAACAAATTCCACACTTCGTACTAAAATCTAATACAATTTTGTGCCTATATATGTGTGCATACATTTTTTTTCAAAAATCAACATTCAAGACCAATATTGTTATATGTATATTTCATACTATTTTATGATAATAATGACGATATTGCTAATGAACTGAACACACAAAAAAATATCAAAAATCAAAATAATATTATTAAGAGTGGGAAAATGTTAAAAATTCTATTGTGGATAATTTGTTTGTTTGTTGTTTTTTATTACCTATTGTAGAAAAAAATACCACACAGATAATATCCCACGTGGGGATCACTGTCATGTGGGATGTTTCACTAAAATGGAATTTCTAAATGTATCTTATAACGAGAAATGTTTGGAGACAATTAAGCTTGCATGCTAACTTCTATGCTTGAGATATCAGTTAAATAAAATCTAGTGTAATATACACACAGAATTGTAATATGCACAGAACTTGTAATACAAACAGAAACGTAATTTGAGATGTACATTTCTGTATAACCCCAGCTGACAGAATTCATTGCTGATATAAACAAACTTCTATCAGGGGTTTACATTATAAGTAGACTTTTTAAAAGGGATGGTGCCTAATCTATTTTATTTATATGCTTCAAAATATACAGGATGAACTTCCAAACACAGAAACAGTTAGATTTAGCCCCTGATATGGGAGGTATATCACCTACATGAACTTAGGAGATGTAGAAACTGATTTATGTATCAAAGATAAGTTTTGATCAAATAAATTTGGAGTATTTTTCCGATTTGTTTTATTACTACAAATAGATTTATCAAAGATATGACTACAGTAATGATTTTAAAGATAGGGATTTTGTATGGTCTTAAGTACTTCATAAAAGAAAAAAATATTAGCTGGGCAAGTTTCAAGTACGTTCCTTAAAATTAGGTTAATAAGATTTGTTTTAAAACATCAGATATGTGTTACCAATAGGAAAATTTAAGGAAAAAAACCTCAGTGGAGAATGTTTCTGTGAAAATGAAAACCAGGCATTTTTAATTATTAAAAGGTGAATTAAGTCTTCTAAATGTGTTTTGGTAACAAAATTATTTTGTTTGTTTTTTGTTGTTGTGAAATTCAGTATTTTTTTTTATATTTATTATGTCTTTAAGCTACTGTGTTTTCCCTCCCTTCTCTTTTTCATAGATTGAAAAAAGCTGGTATGAAACCACGAAAATTTACGCCCTCAAAAATTGTGTTTATCAACTCTGTGAAACATACCTGGAAAGTGTTATTGCTGGAGAGACTCATTCTGTCGAGGGCAGGTTCGGTGGCGTAGCTATACATCCCTACTCCAACCCTTTCGCCCTGCGGACTATACAGATTCGGGTTCGCCTTCCCCGTTATGTTAGACGATTTCACCAGGTTCTTTTCCGTTTGTAGTTTAACTCCATCTAACACTAAACCCTGAGAAAACTTCTGTTTTTGACGATCCAAACGCCGAATGATGAAAATGGTTACGAGAATAGTGGCAGAAAGCACTAGGGTTACCACGACAACGGTTACTACGATAGCCACATTGTACTTGTTGACCCCGTCTGATGTTGGTGGTATCGCTGTGGTGGCATTCTTGTCCGTTACTACGATGCTGAGTTTTGTTACGGATGACAGGTACGGGGTACCCTGATCCATAACGACGATCTGAAGAAAATATCTCGCTCTGTGAGACTCTTGCATCTGCCTTGCTATGATAACTTCTCCGGTGATGCTGAGAACATTAAATAGATCCGAGTCGTTTCTCTCCTTGACCGAAAACAGTAGTTTCTGGTTGGGGCCAAGGTCAAAGTCATGTGCCTGAATGACGGCAATGATAGTGTTTTCCCGAGCTGTGTAGGGGACACGAACTGTGTCGTTTGATATGTTGGGATAGATGATAACTGGTGTGTTGTCGTTGCGATCACCAACATTGACCGTTACCTCTGCTGACTTCTGTCTTGGTGGCATTCCGTGGTCAGTGGCCACAACATAGAATATGTACTTGCTGATGACCTCCCGGTCAAGGACCTTTGTGGTGTGAATTGAACCATCTGGTGACACAAAGAAGGGCACCTGTGAGTTTGGAGCGAGGGCAAAGGTCACATAACCATTGGAGTCGGCATCACGATCTGATGCATAAACTTGTGTCACAGACGTGTCAATGGGCATATTCTCAAGGACGATGGCAGTGTAATCTGTGTCAGTGAATTCGGGCGGGTTGTCATTCTCATCGCTGATGTTGAGTTCGATGGTTGCCGTCGACGACATGGGTGGATCGCCATGATCGGAAGCGATCACCTGAAACTTGAATAACGGAGTTGTCTCCCTGTCAAATGCAATGTTGGAATATATCCGTCCAGTGTCATCAATATTAAAATATCCCTTTGAATCTCCATCTAGGACATAGGTTAATCTGGCATTGTCACCTTCGTCAAGGTCACTGGCGGTGACCTGTACAATGACCTCACCATTGTTGCGATTCTCGGGGAAGGTTACTGTATACACAGGTTTTGAGAATTGTGGGTACTGGTCGTTTTCGTCTAAGACGACAGCGGAGAATGTCCTGGTACTGTTTAACGGGGGAGTACCCACATCCTCACAGAACACTGAAATATCATGACGTGCCTGGATCTCCCGATCCAGAGGCTTGTGGACGATGACCTTATATTCATTGACCTCTAACCTCTGCAGCTGGAAGTAGTCCTCAGAGTTAGAGATGGAGCACGTGACAATCCCGTTTCTGCCAGTGTCTGGGTCTGTCACTGCGACGTGAGCAACAGGCGACCCCATGTTGGCGTACTCAGAAATCTTGGCGACATTTTGATCCCCACCATAGAGTAAATTAAGCTTAATTTCTGGCGGGTTGTTTCCGGAGTCTTCCACATGTACAAAAACATAAACTTGTGCCTTTGATGGCTGGTCTCCCTTATCGTAAGCCTCCACGATTAATTTGTATGTCTCCGCAGGCATGAGAGTCTGTGCAACCCCAAGTCTCCCACTTGTCAGGTCCATAGTGAACAGAGCCTGGATTTCCGGTGGCTGATTACTACTGATCTTATAGATAACTTCACCATTTTTTCCCACGTCTAGATCATTGGCCGTCATCTCCAAGATGATGGTCCCAATGGCAATGTCCTCTTTCACACTGACATTGTACGACGGCGAGGTGAAGGTCGGTGAGTTATCATTCTCATCTTCAATGGTAATATTAACATTGAGAACACCAGTTTTGGGTGGCGAACCTCCATCCTCAGCTATGACTTTAAGCTGGTAATGGCCATTGACTTCACGGTCTAATTCATCGGTGACCTTGAGCTTGACATCGGTGTTGCCGACAAGGTCAATCGTAAACTTGGTTGTGAAGGGGGAAGATGCGGGTACGACACTGTATTTTATCACAGAATAAAGTTTGCTGTCCTTATCCTTGGCACTGTCCAGTGTGAACTCGCGACCAATTTGGGACAACTCCGATATAGACAGGTTAAAAACACCAACATCGAAACTCGGGGCATGGTCGTTGAGATCCTCAATCACCACAGTAACTTGGATCTTTTTGAAGAATACTCCAATGGTAGATTGGGCTGCTACTTCCAGTGACAACTCACAAGAATCGGGGGAAAACTCACAAATCAAGTCCCTATCCAGTTTGTCATTGGTTGTAATAGCACTAGTGATTTCATCTATAGAAAACCGAAACGTGTGGGGGTGGTCTTGGGCAAGAAAACTATAACGGAGTTCGGAAAAATCATCGGAGTCCGAAAGTTGACTACTTAAATTCACATCCTGAGCAATATTTCCCAGAGGAACAGGTCCCACTAAATCCTCTGTTATTGTGTAAGTATGAGACAAAGTCTCAACATGGTTCACAGAAAACAAAACTGTCAGAAAAATTAAACACAAATCTTTTGCCATTTTGAGAATTCTATCCAGTGTATTTGAGCGCTATCTACACACTCGATTTATATCCACAGTTTATGTCATGATGCTGTGTGCGTCCCCCGTCTCACTATATAGTTCCCACGCTCAGCCTCCCCAACCTATAACACAAGAGGTTGACGGTGAAATCAACAGCAAAAATATATAAATATACATGGTACGTGACACAATCTTCTAAAACATACACACATATAAATATAAATGATTATTTTAAAAATATTAATACTAAATATATGTTAATCATTATTAAAACACCTTACCTTTTTAAGTGCATAAACGAAATCCAGAGTTCCAAAAAAAAAGAGGGAAATTAATTACATAAATATGTTTTCTACTAGAGTGCTATATACACATGCTCTGCTCCACCGTTCTCTATACTACAGATCTACAGCCTTACTATGTGTGAGGCACAAATCAATGTGAAGGCCCGCCCACAAACCAGCCAGCCAATCAGAGTGGACGATCATGATAGAGTGTGATAAAGCAGTCAATCAAACCCTACACTGCCATAAAATGGTAGTACAATCAAGCGTGACCTTAGCTAGCTCCCTACTATATACTAGCTGACTAAAGGCACAGTACTAGCCCCGACCAACAGGTTGTTGAATTTACACCTCCACAGGGGTACCAGTCCACAGATGGGTGGGGAATGTCTCACCCCAACACACCTTTATACATAGGTGTGATGACAGAACTGGGAGCATTCTTCAACCATGTGCTACCTGCGTATGGTCAGGCTTTTATCTCGTTTTGTTTTTATGTGCACAGGAACCAAGCCGTGAAATATCTATCATTATTCTGGGGTTTTAGTGCCGACGTTTGTCTCACCTCTCCTTTACACCTACCGAGACTTTTTATTGCCAAAGTCACTTTCATACCACAAACAACAATTTACCAAATTAATAGAAATTAATTATGAAAAGAAACTGTTTTGCCAGAATAATTTCTATAAGTAATTGGTACTTTCAAGAATAAAGAAAAAAGCAAAACAAGTAATTTCTTAAAAAATGAAATCTATTGTTTTTTAATGAAATATTTTCATGAACAATCCAAATTATTTTAAAATTATGTTTTTTCTATGAAATACTGAATTATTACAATATAACGTTGTTAAGTCATAGAACATTAATAGTAACAGAATTAAAAAAAAAAAAAAACATAAAAACTTTTTTTTTTAGATCAATTGCCTTAATGTTTTTCATGCATAGGATGAAAAAGTTCATGTTGTGGCTGTGATAACTAATTAGCATGAATTATAAATTTGAAAAGTTGGAAAAGTTTATAAGTGGAAAAGTATACAGTTTGATTATTTAATCATTTTATTAGAGGACCTGACACTTTTCTTTCTTGAATTTAAAACTAATATTGAACCAGACTGACAGCTAGGCCCTCCTGAAGTCTGTGGTGATATAGAATCCAAACGTTAGCATAGCTGTATAATCGTGTTATATTGTGCGGTCGTTGTCACACCAAAGCTTAATATCCCCATCTCTCAATATTACAATTTTATTTAATTCTATCCTAGCTACAATGAATATTAACCATTGTTCTTGCCTAGTGGTCATTTGCAACTCCAAATGATGTACATTTCGTCGTCAGTTTCGGTGTTTTAGGAAATATGTCACAGATGTTAGTTTCATAGTTTCCTTTGGTTAAAGCTGAAGGTGTTTTAAAAGTCTGAAACTGGACACTGCATGGCTACTGGGGATGTTTGTACAACTACTTAATGACCTAACAGAAGCGGTAATTGGACGGAGCAGAAATACAAACTTTACTCGTCCACAGGTGTAAATAAACCATTTACCTACTGTTTATTTACTCAACAAACACTGACAGTGTGACCCCACAGTTTAGATTCAAGTCCAAAATCAACATTTTTATAGAATCGTTCTTCCTCATTGAAAGTGTTAGGTGAACCAATCACGCCTCACACAGAGGTATACACACAAACCTGGCCATGACTTTCATACAAGTTTCTGTCTGAATTGGGGTCTAAGCCTATATTTTCAATTTAAAGGTTTTTGATAACAGTTAATGTTCTGGGTCTAACTAACAAAGGAGAGTTAAAGAAATTATTTTGCCATTTCTTACACTCAATTTCCCAATTTCTATCTTGATCACTGACAGTAAATAGACAGAGTATTTTCCTGACCAACAGGTTTATAAATCGGCCCCATCGTCGCAGTTATTTGAGTCGGTAAATTGTCAGTTAGACCTGATCAGAGAGGTTGGTTATGGACAGGAATCGTATTGTGATTTGTTACACATGCATTAGTCACATGGGTCAGAAAATCGTGACCCCGATCTTTACAACTCCGAGATCGTTTGAGCACAAATCGACTCGATACTCTGTCAAGTGCAATATAAACTGGATTCTATTGAAATCGCTTCCAAATCTGATCAGGTCGATCAAGCGTTTGGTCGGGTGAGGTATATCACAGTTTACGGTGCCAACATTTGAAGGGAGAATCAGAATAACGGAGGCGTTGTTCTTCTGTGAAGAAAAGGTTTTTACTGACCCTGTATGTTTTTCCGTGTGCGGTTAATGAGTCAACAATTATCGACACTTCTTTAATCGCTGTCCCCGTTAGGTATTGTCTTACAGTTTTGTGTTTATAAAAGCCGCAATTCATTTGTCCGTTTAATGTTGTGGGGAAAACCGCTATTAATTACACCTTTGTATCAGTCTGAGCTTTAGTAAAAAAGATTTTCATGACAAAAGTTCATAAAATATGTCAACGAAGTTCACACCATGATATGCACAGTTTTAAAGCTCTGTTTGCTAAGAATAGTCAACTCTGATTGTAAATTTCATTTTCAGAATTGTCAAAAAGTTTTTGAACATTTCAAATATTCTTGATTACAGCTGACAATTTTGACTCCTTAATATGAAACTCATTTTTTCCCCCCTTCAAATTGATAAATTATGAACATTTCTTTAACGGAATTAACCAAACAAAATAAAATTTAAAGTTGAAGAAACTTTGCACAGAATGGAACATTTTTTCTGTGATACAAATGTATTATTACCAAACTATGGTACAATTAAAATGTTTCAGTTGTAAATATTTGATAAAAAGACAATACAATTTTATTAAGCATGTACATTTCACATGAACAATGGACAGAAAAATGACACAATCCATTTCCTTAAAAACAAACAGTTGTCGACTTTATTTAAGGAAGTTTCTGTTGACATATTGCATGTCAAACCCACACTAGTATTCCCTCAGGTTTTTATACCAAATCAGGTCATTTTTTGTGTAAATGTGTTCCAAGTCTTAAATGTATTTTATGACCCCAAAAATATTTCATCTATTCGAAAAATGAGTGATCTAAAAAAATTGAACCAAATGATTTTTTTTACTTTAAAATTCATGAAAATGGAACATTTTACAATTAATACCAAAAGTACTGCCAGCTTCATTCCTTGATCGATATACCTATGAGTTTAATTAAGTAACAAAATTGTTTGTTGAATTGCTCTTAGTTCGAAAAGGTTTGTTCAAAAGCAGCTGTCTAAACTTAGCTTAATGTCTGAGTTTAATGAACGCATTAATTGTAAGCAACGCATAAAAAGTGCATACAATCATACTTAGCATTCTAACATTAGAAATTTTACTTGTAAATATCAATTTCTTTCATTAGAATTTTCCTTTCTTTGTAAAATAAACACATGCCTTTGTTACCACTTTGATGAAAATGGAGCTAAATGCAAAGTTTAACCAAAGTCAATGAAGCGGAAAATATAGGTCACTGTGACCTACATTTGATATATTGAAGTTTGCCTTCAATATTTATCTATATATGAAATATGTCGACTGTTTGACTTCTGGTATTATTGATGTTATGAAGCTGAATTTGAAGCGTTATGATGTTTTTCTGATGGACACATATGGTGTGAAAAGAAACAACAAACACCTTATGAATAAAAAAAATAGAATATATTCTGTTCAGCGTAAAGATTTCGGTCAGTGACAAAGTATTTGTCCAATAAGTCAAAAACACGCTGCAGGTCGATTACCAGGTAGGTGTAGGACGTATGAGATGATTTCAGCCAATAGGAGATGATATGACACATCAGTGTCGTAACATATGGTTACATGATCAATCCCACACTCCGAGAAGAGCGTAATTGTTATCAGGTAACAGCTAAGCGTAGAATTACGGTAGACACGTTCACCTAGCCTGTATCATCAGCAGCTATATGTTTGTCTAAAGGTTAGATGTATATACCCTGTTCTGCCAGTACCTGTTGACAATTATGGACAATTGTTCATTTCATGCAGTTACCTATACACCTGTCATTGTCATCCACTTATCTAAATAGCATATTCCCCATATAACTGTTTTCTCAAACGGGACAAATGAGATTTTAATTCCAACCTGTCCACTACTCTTGTTTGCAATGATTGCTTACTAAAAGGATCATACTTATCCGGTAAATAAGTCGTAAAATCTAAATTTCTAACCTTCTACTTTGTCAAGACTTTTTATGTCGTCCTTACCTGGTTAAATACTGTGTCCTCGTTAAAGGTGCGCATTAATGTGAAAGTCTTACCTTTGTGTTTACAACAATGCAGCAAGTTAGCTAGCCCCTTCGTTAAAGGTGAAGTTTACACCTGTTTCTGTCCATTTCACTGTCTCTATCGCTATGCCAACTCTAAAGTGAAAATCTCATTAATTTTCTCACCTGTTCATCTTCATTAATGATAAAAATGTGTATCTGGCTAAAAGTATTACTTTCCTCTCTTGACTTACCTGATATTCAGATACCTGGCTTAATTATTCTTTCTGGCTCTACCTGTCTATCTACTTTCTCAATAGAACACCTGTCAAGACTAATGATGTTTCTTACCTGATCAACAAATACAGGACAATACACCTATACAGCTATAGCTTCTTTAATTAACTTTAAGAGATACCTGTGTCAGCTTCTTCAACAAAATCCTTTTTATGCACCGTACCTTAGTTACCTGCTTTTAATGTGATTAGACCACCTGGGACAATGAATCATACCTTAATTACCCGGTAACTACACAAGATAGCGGTGTTGTTTTCTTTGAAAATAATAATAATAATAATTTGAGGTTCTTAGATACCGCTTTATCACAACCTAGTTTGTAGGTTGTCTCAAAGCGGTTCAAAAATTATTATCCGTGGTTATAGGGCCTTCGCAACCAGCCAATATCTTTTTCAACTCCCTTACGGGGGAGCATACAGCCTGTGCTGCCATTTCGGCGCTCACAGCTAGCATTCAATAATTCTAGCACTGCCCAACCACGTACTTATTTACAGCTGAGTAGACTGGAACAAGTATAGTAAAATATCTTGCTCAAATTAAAGATACAACACAATGCTGTGACGTGACTCGAACCCACAGCCCTTCAGTCACGAGCCCGGCGTCCTACCACTAGACTACCGTGCCTCCAAATAATACTTGACAACTGGAGTATTATTTTTACATACTTCAAATACCTGCTTCTGGTGATTAGATTAATTAGAACAACCATACCTTGATTACCTCATTCACCCCTACATATTTAAACTGAACTTGACCAGTCTTTGATTTGGTAAGGTTCAAATGTGGCGTAAAATTTAGGGGTGAATGGGTTAAATCCCCAAGATAAATGTGTCTGTTTCTTCAACCAAATACTTGGAAATTAAAGTATTTTTTTCTTTTTTGTTTGTACCGTACCTGAATTACCTGGTAAATCAACAAGATGGCGGTTTCTTTCTTTAAAAATAACACTTTGTAACTGGCATGTAACTTTTACGTAATCTCAAATACCTGATTCTTGTAATTTGAAAGATCTTCAAGATAACTGTGTCAATTTCTTCAGCAAAATACTTTGAAATTGGAGGTTTTATTTTACTTACCTCAA